CTCCCAGAATTCCCCAGCCAGCATGGGTGGCTGGGGAATTCTGGGAGTTGAAGTCCACACACCTTAAAAGTTGCCAAGGTTGAGAAACACTGATCTAGAACCTCCCCGCAAAGGGTCATGGTGGGTGGGCTTCTTGTGGGCAGACATACATGGAACAGGATATCCGAACTTCTCCGGGTATTTGTTGAGCAATGTGTTCTTAATGTGGCTTCGTCCAACACCACTTGCCCCTGGTCCAAAAGAAAAAATAAGTCAGGCATCACAAAGACAGTTATGTCACTGCATCAGTGACCACAGTTACAGTAAATAAGACCTTAGCTAACCAAAACTTCCTTCTCCTTTTGCCCCTAAAGTAGTTCTTTACAACATATGTTTTACATCAACAACTGTGGGGCTACCTTGCCTGCCCACCTCCACCATGTCCAAGGTTGCTGTTAGCAGATCTTTTTGACAATTCACTTTCCACCCTCCCCAAATATTCTGCACCTTAAAACATGGACTTGCTGCAGTGACAAATGTCTCTAGGCCTGTTGTGTATTAAGAAGGTCTAGACCCTTCAAGCAGGCTTCAATCTGGCAAAGAGATTGTTGAGATTCAGCAAGACTTGGTTTGCTCACACGGTTGCTAGATTTTTTCAGACTGCGTCCTGGGGCAAAGCATCCAGCAGTGATTGTCAATCTCAGCAACTTTAAGACATGTGGACTTCAACTCCCAGAATTCCCCAGACAGCATTAGAACTATAGGAATTCATTGATTTAATACTTAAAGCAGCAGAGTCAGGTATGACTTCATTACCTATAAGCACCAAAGTTTTCCGCTTAAAAGCTGGTAGCTGGACCACCTCCTCATAAGACACTACATCAAGCTGGTCAAAAACTAAAAGGAAAACAAGAAAGAATTTAGCCAAGCTCCAGAAGAATATGAGTCCTGCAGACATCCTGCAGGTTGTATTATGGCATGATCACCTTTAAAGCTCTGGAGAAACTTGGTGATTGGAAACTGCATTCCACATGCAAATCTGGGCACTTTATCCAAACCAGAAAATTCTGTTTTTCTTTTTTCCTGCTGGAGAAGTTGTAGCCATGGATAACCCACTCCTTTCCTGACTCAGTGAACAGTAAAGCAGTGTGTTGGAACACAATGGAATTCTTGACGCAGCTTTACCATTAACCTATGAATGGGCTTGCTATCTTAGGGATAACCAACAGATTTTGCAGGCAAACACAGTCAAGGTCAGTCTCTGGCACCTACAGTTAAAAAAGCAACAGAGAACAGGATGCTGGAGATGAGGCCAGGATGAGCTAATTGGAAAAACAGGCTGACCAGAAGAAACTGTGATGTGCAGAAACATGTTGTGTTGTTTCCTTTCGGTTCTTCCTTTGCTCTAATTAGAGAACTGGATTTGGAAATGTCTTTCAAGGGAGAAGAGAGATGGGGGAAATAGTCCTGGTGGAGCCCAGCGTTCTTGCACTTATTCAGCTCCACAGTTGGCCAAGGGGCACGCGTGAGTGTCCCATCTTTCACTGGATGGCCTTCCAGTCTGCTGTCCCCACAGCCTTCCACGCTCCTATTAATCCCAACAGAAGGCATCTGAACAGAATTCTGCTCACAGGGACACTTTGGGGCAGGCTGCCAGAGAGTGACAAGATGTATACATGAAGTTCAAAACCAACCAATGTTTCTAATGTTTTCTACATGTACAGTCTGCCCCATCCCAATCTCACAGTGGGCCCTCAGTAAAACCAGGATGAGACAAAGCTGCTCCACCCATCACCCAGCGCAAAGGCTGGCTTCGTATAACATCCTCCAGCTTAGCCTACAAGGGGACTAGGTAGTCTGTGGTTCCCTGTGTTGTGGGAACCCTTCTCTCAGCATCCTGAACTAGACGATCAGGTTAAACTAGCACAGGTTTATTGGCTTGGCTCTAACACAGCCGCAAAGTGCAACCTGTCCTGATGCTGAGCAGAACCCATCAGAACAACAGAAGTTGCGACTTACTTGAGCTATGCTTTGCTAAGTACTTGTCTTTGTATTTCTTCTTCTTTCCAAAGGGGGTACAGCTTTGGGCTTCAGACTGATTCTCTTGCGTCACACTGGCAACACGCCTGCAGGAAGGTAAAAGGGTAAGTTGCAGTGATAGCAGTAAATCTCAGGCACCACATGGCTTTTCCTTCCTCTACCACCTCATCCCGTCTCTGTCATTCTCACAGGGCTTGGAAAGAGGGGGAAGGGGGCTTTCTAACTGTTGATTTCATCAAGGGATTGAACTCTGCCCAGGGGCAGCTAGAAGGGCATCAAAGCAAGGACTAAGTTGTTCTCTGGGAGTATCAGGTACAAAAAGGGGAGCTCAAGAACTGGGGTTCAGTGGGAGGTGGCCCTGGGTACATCTGCCTTCCAAGGCTCAGCAGGTAGCCAGCAGAGACCAATGAACCTTCTCAGGTTGAGCCACCAAATGGGATATCTTTCCTCATCTGTGACTTTCATTTAAAAAGCCTTCAACCGCAATACTCTTATTTCACATTTTAAAATCCTTTAGAAAAGACCTTCAAGGATTAAGCCCAGTTACTGTTGCAGATGCTGGGATGAATGCACCCATGAGAGCCACACCAAGCAGCTTTTTTGGGGGGGATGACAACATTCCAAGTCAGCTTCAGCCATGCTGGTCAGTCTGGTCTCAATTTCTCTGGAGGTCATCCATTTGCAGAAAGCTAATAAAGCTAATAATCAGAGAGCCAGTTTGGTGTAGTGGTTAAAGCACCAGGCTAGAAACCAGGAAATCATGAGTTCTAGTCCCACCTTAGGCACAAAGCCAGCTGGGTGACCTTGGGCCAGTCACTCTCTCTCAGCTTTCGGAAGGAGGAGGCAATGGCAAACCACTTCTGAAAAACCTTGCCAAAAAAACTGCAGGGACTAATTCAGGCAGTTGCCAGGAGTCAAGACTGACTCGAAGGCACAAATAAATAAATAATAAAGCAGGACCTACCACTCTTGGAGCTCTAGAGATGGAATAAGTCCTGCCGAGCCATTGGAGGAACCTTCAATCCGGCCTTGCCACCAGTTACTGTCATCTTTATTGATAATCTCAATAACATCTCCGGTTTGGAACTTCAGGCCAGCTTCTCTGCAGGGGATAAGGCTGTCCTTCTGTGGGTCGTAGTCAAACTGAGCTCTGACAAACATCTGTTGGGAAGGGAGTACTCAAGAAAATTCAAATGGGCAATCAGCTTTATCTTGCATCAGATGAATAACATTAATTTCATCTCAATTTCATTAAACATCTCAAATTATCTCAAATTTCATCTCCATTCCATTAAACATCTCAAATTATCTCAATTTCATCTCAGTGTAATTAAACATCTCAAATTATGAAGGAAAATAGGGCAGGGAGAGGTCCTAACAAAAACCACGTAACCTACAGGGTTTCCTTCTAATGTTTGTGAAGATCCAGAAGAAAATGCAAGTGATCCTCCTATGACTCTTCCCTTTTCATCTTAGACACATTTAGGTACAAATAAATGTGCAGTCTAGTATGAACCCCTCCTCCCTCCCCTGGGGCTTCCTGCATAGCCTAGATAAAATGAGGTCTACCTCTGGTCTACCTAGGAGGAACTGAGATACAAGTTCTTCACACACCATCTCAAGAGAAGTCCTTCCTTCCTTCACTCAACCAATATTGTTCATCTGCCATCTTAGCCTCTCTATTTCCCTGCATCTTTGCCCTGTCTATTTCCACTGATTTAGGACTACCAACTTGTTTCTCAGGACAATTATCTCATTCCAGATAGCCGTGAGAAGATGATCGACAACCTCTAACTGTGTTACAGCTGCAGCAATAATTCTTACTCTATCATCTGCACAACATGCACTGATACATGACAATTTCCTCCTCTTCCTTCCCCATCCAGCTTTCCTTTTGTATTTTGTGTGGTCTTTTAGGCTGTAAACCTAACAATAGGGTCTGTCTTGTTGCTGATCTCTAAGCCATTCTTGGTGCCTCACCAGTCAAAAAGCAAAGCATAAATACTGTGAATAAACAGGCAAAAATAAAAGCAGAATTATAGTCATTCTTCAAGAAAGATGACTCCCTGACATGAATCATCACTAGATCACACAGCTAGCAAGAGCTTCCCAGGGTCAATTTCTATTTGCCCTGCAACAGTTAAAAGTTGGAAGAGCTTCCCTAGGAGGAAAAAAAAAATAGGGCATGAGAAATGGATCCTGTGAGCTTGGGAGTTCTTGAAAAAACTGATGCATTAACAGCATCCTTGGATAAACTCTGCAGTAGTTTCTGAGTGAGGCTTCAGTGTGTCCAGCATGGTATTCGGCTCCTTCCCAAGAACAGGAAAAACAAGCGACTTAAAAATAGCTTTTCCCCGCAAGAGTCTACTGCTCAACAATGTGACATCATCTCATGGACAGGTGGGAATCCACAGTAGAGTTTCTCAGTGATGCCGCCTGAGATCTGGACAAGATTTTGCTTGGGCTCCAGTGGGACCGCAAGAGGGTTATTCCCACCAGCTTCTGCAGAAGCTGGTTGCACTTTAATCAATGTTTGTCCTGCTGCTCTCTTTCTCTCTTTTAAATCATTTATCTGTGTTGATTACTTGGTTCCTCAATGTGCTACAGGACTCTGAACTTTGGTTGGTTTTGCTTTAAGGAAGGAATAAACTATTTGAGAGTGAACAAAACAGCTGCAGTCCAAGAACGTTGGCACTTGTGTTTCTCCCAACAGTAATACATATATGTAAAAAAAATTAAAATAATGAGAAAGGAAAACAGCCAGCAGGAAAGAGAGAAGGCTCTCCCAACCCCTACACTCATACAGAAGGATTACTGGGCATCACGCCCAACAGGGAGTTGACCAGGATTTAAGCATACACACTTTTTACTGTGTACTTTGCTCTGGAAAGAATGCTTTAGAACGGTCTGGATGCCCTCCAGATTTGTGGATTTCCACCTCCCATAATTCTCTGCAACAGCACTCTGGCTGGGGAACCCTGGGAGCTGAAAACCCTACATCTGAAGGACATCCAGGGTGGGGGAGGCCATCTGAAATGCTGCACTGTAGTCCAGTGTTGCCACAGGAGGGGATAAGGTCACCATGGCTTTAAATACAAGGACTAGCCCAATTCTGGCCCAATTCTTGAGATCTCTTCTGTCAGCCTTACCAGGTAGATCAGACAGAAAACACGACCAGATGAGCTAATTCTACTTTATTGTAAAGCTACATTAACAGAATCTTGCAAGTCTGAAAGTACAAATCTCCCGCCGTCTCCTTTACAGCCTGAGAAGCTGAGGAGGGTCCCTTCTGAGTCTCTTTCTTCATCCATTATGCAGCTGTGGGCTATGCTGCCTCTTATCTGACCAGTCCCTAGGCAACATCTCTTCACCCCATCTCTCAAGGCCATTCCCACATACCATTACACCTTCCAACTCAATGATTCTATGATTCAAAAGACATTAGTCTGATCCAGGCATCAAGATTTGCTAACACCTCCTAGTCTGGGAACAGGAGTCAGCAAAAGTGTATATTTATGCCAGCAATCCTCATATGTTAGACCATAACATATCACCCCTGATTATTGGCCATATTGGGGAAATGATGGGAAGAACAAAATTCTTGTTCTGTTCTAAACAAACTGAGGGCAAGAGCTCAATGTGCTATCTGACCATTATCATCTTTCCTACAGCAGTAAAAACAAAACTCTCTAAGAGAGCAGAAGTCAATAGCCCTATGCCTCTCATGGTCCCCAGAAGCAAGAGATTGTTCTGGCATCTGAAGATTCCATCTGGTTATTGTGCCTGATAACCTTTATTTGAGCAATCCTTCTCCAGAAATGTATGAAAACACCTTTTCGCACAATGTAAGATGGTGATTACAACTTGACTAGGGAAGCAGGGGAAGTGGAGTGAAGTTTCCAATTGTCAGGACATCGGATCCTCTTTGTGAGGAGACAGGAGGAGCAGAATTTGGTTCAACAGATCAAGCAAAGACACATCCATGTTACATACCAGGTGCAAAATTCACCCCTTTTTTAAATCTGATTTTTAAAAAATCACAAAAAACAGTAAAACTGCTAATTACAAATGTTCCACCTACCTGAAGGGCTGGAATACGGTTCTGCTGGTTGGGAATGATCTTTAGGGAGACGGTTCCCTTGGTTTCCTTCTAGGGGTTAAAAAGAAAGAGAATCATTGTCAGGATTAAGAAATAGTTTCCAGGCAAACTACAGAACAAAATTCCAAATGCTCCTTCTTCAGTCACTCAAAATGCAAATACAGTGAGATGTCAAGTTACCTCAGAAATTCCACAGAAGCCAAAAGATACAGGTTGTCCTGGCAGTCTGGGACAAATGACTTATGAACTTAACCAGAAGGAGGATCTAATTTTCAAACCCATACCTAGCAGTTTTGCACCTGCAAAATGTGTTGAATTTCAAAGCTCAAAGCTAGTTGACCCCAAAGGGAGGTTGGGGGTGGGAAGTAAGTCTGGCTCACACATAACAGCAAGCCATATAGTGGTTTGGTGGTTTCAGGCTTCCAGTGATAAGTAAACTCGCCCCTTGTGGCTTAATATT